GCTTTCGGGTTTCCCGTGGTGGTTGATGGTGGTTGCGCCGGTAGAATCAATGGAGGCACTGGTGAGTGCGGCCAGCGATCTGCAACGATTCATGTTTTTCTTACCTGCAAGCGGCAATTTGTGAGCCTCTTCTCTCCTCCAGCCGGCGATGACCACTTGCGGCGATAGAGTAGCGGCGACAAACCAGCATTGCAATGGTCCTTTTCTTGTCTTATACATAAAGGAAATTAAGCAAATGGAATATCTTTTTAAAGGTATATAGATTTAGATTTATATTTATATATAATATGTTCTTGATGGCATGTATTCTATGTTTACGAGGGTCTGAATCATTAAGATGAGAAATGAAGCTGTTTAAAAAAGCTATGTTTGAGAAAACTATATTCTGAATAGGCTATCCATGAGATGCTGTGCAAAACATCTATCTCATTTGCGAACTTTAGACAGGCAAAGGTTGACCTCAACATCAATGGTTAGTTTAGTTTAGTTATTCAGTGCCATATTTTTCAGTATTTCTTACCACATTTAAAATTTTAAGATCATTACAATAATACCTTAGCATTTATGGAAAAATGAAAAATTGCAGGTTTTACTATACCAAAAGGATGGAAATATGGACCCTGAAACTTACATCAATCCAAAGGAATTCGATCCTTCCAGATAGGAAGTATGTATGATATATAGTAATTAATTTTGAAAAAAAGAATGTTCTTCCACTCATTCTTGAACATGTGAGTAACAGGCATATTAGTTGGAAACACTTCATGAATGGACAAGTTATCTCCAACAACGTAAAGATTAATTTGAGTACTTTTAAAAGTATTTGTTTGAATAAATTTATATTAAAAATTGAAACGAAATGTTAAAATGTACGGTTTCCAAATTTTTCATATGTTTAATATATTTTATTTCAAGCTTAATTTATAATCATTTAATTAATCATTTAGTTTGAGTGATTTTGGGTTAATTTATTATATAATTTGATTTTTGTCATTTTAGGTTTTGGTTTAATGATTAAATAAGTAAAATTAAAAAAATAGTAAATTTAAGCAGGTCACAATAAACTTAAATTTGTTATCATTTTCTTTTTATAATTGTACAAAGATCTAAGTTTGTTGTTTAACAACATACTTAAAATTTACGTCTATCGAAGACTTAAAAATCCCGAAATAACAAACATAAAAAGCTTATTTTGTAGTAGTAGATTTGCACGAGTTGGGTGCTGTGCGAGAAACCTCTGGATTCGCTATGCGAATGTGTGTGACATGTAAATGGTCTAGGTTTTAGTTCACCTTTTTCTTTCTTGTATTCACTGAACTTGAATGAATTGTAATACATTGCAAAGCTTGTCTGATATATGAAATATGGTATATGATTATGAGTCATGTTCTAAGTAAAAGTATGTGAATCAAAGTGATGAATGTAAGTATTAATGTAGAATCTTTTGGTGAGATTCTAGGTTGTTTAATGAATGCAGGAGCTCAGTCTTGGGGGTTATTCTGAAACTCCAATGGTTTCATTCTCAAGTAGAGAGTATTGAACCATGTCGTGAGGAGTAACAGGAGGTCTTAGTCTTTGGGGCTTCCAGTATGCCTCAAGGCCCGGAACAAACTAACCTCGTGAATATGGTAGAGTGAAATCCATTGGCAATAACTTTGCAAAGCAGTAGAGGCCACCACGAGCGCACGACCAGCCATAGCTCGACAATCATTCTAAGTCCGGACAAGTCAAGTCTAGAACATACCATGCTAGGATGTTTGATTTAGTTACTTTGCTTGATTTATCTTGTGTATGTTATGTGTTATTAAATTGTATGTTTTCTTGTATATCTAGCTTACCCTTCTGCTTGTGTTTGTATTTTGTATGTGTGGTGCTTTTCTTTTGCAATGATCATCCGATAGATGTGAGTAGAGGAGATGAGGTGCCTCTGGAGCAGGCTTTGGAGGGTGAGGATGTTGTTGTTTAGTTTAGTTAGGTTGTTTATTTCGGCGTATAGTTTTGGAATACTCTTCTGTATATAAAGTTTTAAATTCTACGGTTATTTTGGATGACTGTAAAGTTAATACTTTATTTAGTAGTCTATAACTGTTCTATTATATCATTTCTGTGACTACTATAATATGGTTTAAGGTTATATTTTGGGATGTTACAAATAAAATAATCTGATGTGTTAATTTAGGATGCTTAATATAATTATTAATGATGTTAATATAATTATATTTAATAATTCTAAAATGGGAAGTCCATGGATTGATTCTAACTTATAGAACTTAGAGATATTTGATCATGTAGACTTTTTTAATAAAAGATGTTTTTGACTCTGTGAACTTTTTTGATCCAAACTTTTATATATATATATATATATATATATATGGGTTAAGGTCCTATAATGTGGGTTTGTTTGACAGGTCTAAGTGTCACTTAAGGTTATTAACTTTTGTTTAAATATAATTGTTTTGTTGTTTTTCTTGTCAATTGAATATATATTTATTGTGTTGATATGAATTGTAGTGTAATAAATAAATAGAAAAATAAATGATAACTATTTTTTAAAACCACGTAATAATTTGATTAATTCATAAGTAAATAATGTTTGTTTATTTTATATACTAATTGAAGTTATTAGTTTTTTTCTTAAGTGTTTCAACTATACTTAACAATTTGATTTTGAATACATGAACTATGTTATGAAATACTTGGATAACTTCTTTCATAGATTTCTACAACACATTGGACTAGATAATTTGTAATCTTGTTTTGTATTTTAATTTCCAATGATTTTAAAATTTTCAATATTGACAATTATGATGCTATTTTAGTCTGTGTGTTCACATGAGATTATTACATTATTGAATTTGTGTTTGCTTGAACAGATATACAAAGAAGGATTTACAAGAATTTGCAAGATATGTATTTTTTTATCACTCACGAAGCTATTCAGATTTTAGGTGATTTGTTTTAAAAAATCAACTTTGTCCTCAAGATAAAAATGAAGAAGGCAACATGAAGAAGGTTGAATATTCGGTTCCTTTATACTCATATTCGGTTCTACTGGACCATAATCAATTCCAACTCAACACACAAATGAAAAAGGTGGCATATTCGGTTCCTTTGTTTTGTGTATTTGGTTCCTTGATACACCAAATCTCTAATACGTATCAATCCATATGTTTAAGTGGAGAATGAGGCCTGTTTGTAATGAGTATTTTACACAAAGTGCTTCATGTTTCTTCTATAAATTCCCTCTTCCTCTTATTATTATTATTATTATTATTATTAATACAATTTTAAAATTAATTTTTATTTTTTTCTCTCCTTAGAATAATTTTTAAAATTATATAATATTAACAATTATTATTTATATTATTTTTAATACTTTGTAATTTTTAATTTCTTTAAATTAAACCATTTTTTAATTTGTGATCAAATTTTACACTAATTTTCACAAACTTTATTTCCAAATTCATTCGCACTCATTTCTAAATCATTTCAAAAAAAACAATCATCTCTCAAATTTCCTCAAATATATCCACTCTCTTTCGAATCTATCCTTTGAAATGAACATAACCTTAAGATTCAATGGTATTATTGCATGTTTTTGGTTCTCGTATGTATACCAGTTTCTTAATTAGAAGCAGAAAAACTAAAAACGAAACAAATGTTAAAAACATAAGCATATAGACAATTAAGTACCACATAACTTTTCGTCTTACTTTACTTATCAATTTTATAGGATTTAACACTACTTTCTACTTTCCTATCCATAATCAAAATTATGTTTTGAATTTTTGAGTGAATTAATGACAGATGAAAAATATCAATTAAAGTTCTCATTATTAATAAAAAACCTTCTTATATCAATATAATTTTTTATGTAATGTAACATTTTTGAGATCTACGTTAATTTACATCAACATTTATATTTGAAAATACTCATATGTTTCTTAATTTGGACATATAATATATGAATAATGATTATATGATTTTCTTATTAAAAATATAGTATTGCATGTTTATTTATTATGCTTATTAGATACTAACAAAATATTATAATCTAAATTATTCTGCATTTAAAAAAACTAATATATATATATATATATATATATATATATATATATATATATATATATATATTTGCTAACGCGCGTACATCTGATTTTCAATTAGTACATTTTAGCAATGTGTACTGGGTTTTAGTAGACAAAAATCCTTATATATAATGGATTCGGGTATTTTAATAATTTTCATTCTCAAAACTAAAAAAAACCCCAAACCCTAACTCACTTCTGTCATTCCTCAACCTTTTCTCTGTCATCTCTACTGTAGCCTACATTTGCTGTTAAACAATTTACCTTTGTAAAGAGTTGAGTCATTGACATATTTACCTTCAAGGTTCATTCAAGATCTCTTTAATTTCACCATCTTCACTAACCTCTCTAATTTTATCATTTGTATATGTTGAATCATCATTTCTAAAACAAACCCTCCAGGCCAATTATCAATTCTATACTTGTGAAAATTATATAAAATTATATACGACAAAAATTATAAAATGAAAATTCATTATAAAATCATTTTTTGTAAGAAATTAACGAGTGTTTCTGATTTTTTTCAAGTCAATTACCAATTTCTTTATACTTGTGAAAATTGGATAAAATTAGATAAGATAAAAATTATAAAATGAAAACTCATTATAAAATAATTTTTTGTAAGATTGTTTAACCGTCAGTGTTTCTGATTTTTTTCAGTTTAGGCTACCATAGGATGACAAAGAAAATGTTGGAGTGAGAGAGATGAAAAAGAAAAGATTGAAAAGAACGAGGGAGGTGAGCAAGGGTTTGCAGGTTTCTTTTTCTTAAAACTTAGAATTCATGATTATATATATATATATATATATATATATATATATATATATATACACACACGAACGAACGAGGAATTTATATATAATTCAAATTAAAACTTCATGATCTTACTTACAACGAGAATACTAAGAAAATTAGTCAGGTGTGAGACGAAATATAAATATTTTTTAAAATACAAATATGAAAACCCATCTAGATTTTACCCATTTCATCCATACTGAAAGCTAATGTAATTTATCGACGGAAATACATTTAATGACAGCAAGGTTGGAAGACTTTGGAAAAGAGAGTATCTGCTGCGTAACTCTCTCCATGTCAATATCGGAATACCGCAGCCAGAAAGCAGTACATATAGTCATCTGCTCCAGAACTTTTGCATTCGCCATCACGAATTTCGCCAGAAGAAGCTCAGCCTCATGCACATTAAATTCCTTAAACTCAAAAACTTTGAGGCTACACAGAAAGCACTGAGGCACTGATGCAAAAAGCACATCTTTATTTAACTCTGATACTCCCTGAAATGTTTTTTTCTGAAAAATTAGTCATCATTTTTTTATTATGTGTCTTCCAACAATTTGAAAAAGCTTACATTTTGTAGAACAAGTGTATTAAGAATTGGGGAACTGTGAAGAATGTTCAGCAGAGCTTCACCAGTAACCTCATTTAGCTGCAGATAAGTCAATCTCCCAAAAACTGGTAGTTGGGAGAAAATATCTCTGGCATGAACCAAAACCTGTAAGACAAAGAAAATACTTTCAAACTTGTAGGTCAAAATTTTCATATCTTTTGGATAGATGTGTTCGCTAGATTATTAAAGTGCCATTAAAGTTTGGTAGCACATTTCACCACACAAGAAAACCCTAAGATGCAATTGTACTTTTGAGTTTTGTCTTTCTAAGAATTGTTTGCTTTTAATCTTTTCTTAACTTTAAAAAGCATTACTTTTTACTTTTTCAGTGTTTTATATAACTTTTATAGAAAAACAAAAAATTGTTATAACAACAACTTCAAAAATTAAAAACTAACATTTTTTTTAAAAGGTTATAATTTAAAAACTAACAATTTTTTTAACAGATTAAATATATTTATAGTTTATAGCAAAATTGATTTTTTTTAAATAAAATATTTTAGTTTTCAAACTAAATATAATTTTAATAGAAGAATTTTTTATATTTAATAGAAGAATTTTAAAGAATACAGTAAAAGATTTAGAATTATTCTTAGAAGAAAATTACCTTAGAGCATTTATCTTTCACCAAATCTCCTTTACACCTTATTATTTTTCCATTTCACAAATTTAATGCAAAAACTTCATATTGGTGTTGTAAAATCAAGGGTAGTATTTTCATTACTACATCCTGATTTCCTTTCTGACAACTTTTCCTCTTTGTTATAAAATTCCATCTATAAATTTGTAATTCAGCTAAAAGAATTCCTATTTAAAATCGGACACTAAATTAATCCCGTGTTCAATTTGTTACTAAAAAATTTATTTTTCTTTCACCAATTTCCATTATATATATATATATATATATATATATATATATATCACTAAATTAAACATTAAAGTCCTTTTTTCACTATTCTTTTTATAAAAAAAAAATTTAACTACTTAATAAACTATCGTAGTCAGATTAATCCTTTAAAAATTAAATTTAGTGAAAAAAGTTTAAATATATAATACGGAGAATAAACAATTTAACAGCTAATTTAGAAAATCTAAGTTTTTTTTTAAATAATGTGATGATAAGATTGCCTCTTTCTGTGAATTACCGAAATTGTTTTATGATATATGTTAAATAAATGTAAATTTGTATCATTAAATAAATTGATATTTTATTATAATATAATATTTTATTAAGAAAGGATAGTAAGTGTCAAATGATTGTTATATCTGAAAAGTTGTGTTACTCAACCACACTGTCAAAGTAGCTTTCTCAACCATGTTACTCATAACAGGCAAATAACAATTCTACCTATCAATAGATAAATTTCCAATTCACGTGACATGAAATGAAATCGTACCTTGTAAAACAGTAATTTCAATAATTGCACTTCAAGGATTTGTGCAAGAAGCTTATGAGCTTGATACCCAACTTTTTTCACTCTGTCCTTTCTGTCTTCATCAACAACAATCACTACAGATGCACTACGAATTGATGATGAATTCAACAGAACGATATCCTGTTCAAGATCACCCTCATAAGAGAAATCTGTTAAACTGGGGGCGAAAACAATGACTGAGGATTTATAAGCTTCATCTGATAGGGATCTCCAATTTCCAATGTAAAACCTTTCAAGTAGGGGTGCTTCTATTCTAATGTTCTGCATAGTGTGCCACTCGCATCCTCTAGCTTCAAGCACTTGGAGAACTGGGAGGTTAAGAATTAGGTCTTCTGAATAAGTGGAAGATTCACCCACTAACTTGATCCCAGATATGTTAAGTATTTTCAGATTTGGAAGAGAAGCAAAAAAGGGAACACATAGAGTGCATTTCATTTGAAGCACCAATTGTACCAGAGAGCTGCAACTGAAGAGGGAATGAGAGGGAAAGAGGACTTCATAGGAATACTGAATATGAAGGTTTTTTATTCCCCTTTCAAAGATAGAGGAGATCCAAGCATTCACATGGCTAGAATCATATTGGTAAGATGTTAAACAAAGAGAGAAACTTTGGATTCTTGAATTGGCAAGAAGAAGAAGCACTCTGTTCACAAAACACTCAAAATTTTGTTTATGCATCTTTTTCTTCCCGACACAGTGGAAACAATCATTGAGCTGAAGGCCTGTGATGGATGTCCAAACATGAATCCACCTTTTTGATAACAAACTAGAGTGAACTGCCTCCATTGATGGAAGGAAAGACAGAATGTGACCAAGAATACTGTCATGCAACTTGCTAATTATGTCTTCCCCAACAACCCCAGTTTCCTCGGTGGGAACTCCTTTTTCATTTTCATCATTATGGGTTGCAATTATTGATTTCATGACTTTGAATCACCTGCTGCATGAACACCGAAGCTGTCAAAGTTTCACAAATGCTCTAAGATGAATAATTAGAAAAGAAATGAAGCAGACTCATGTACGAATTTATCATAATTTCAAGCATCCTAATACAACATAAAGTGAATTAACAATTGAATTTCTAGGAGCTTACTGCAAAGTTTTTAACAATTGAAAGGAGAAATTTGAACATAAGAATCGACTAAGAGAAGTAGAAAATGCAATGAGAAGGATTAAGTCTCACCTTGATGGAGAAATGTTAGAATGGCAGAAAGTCTGGGTGAAATTCTGGGAACACTGAGAACTCAGAAAAAAAAAAGTAGTTGAGAAAAGAAAAAAAAGTATGAAAATGTAATTATGGGTTAACTCATCTTCGATTTTAAATAATTATAATAAAAAAATTATAAAAAAAATGAATAAAACTATTTAAATCACATGCTGGTTGAGCTTATTCCAATTTTTTTAAAAATTTAAACATATTAAATGAGTTGGTATCTATTTGATTGAATTTGATCCAGTTTGAAAACTATTTAAATCAAGTTAACTCATAAGTTAAAATTCATTATAAAACTCATTATAACGTGTTTAGCTAAAAATAAAAAATATAAATAAATTATTATACATACAACTAAATTTATTTTAAAACTTAAATATGTTTTTAATTTTTTATGGACAAAATATTTAAGAAAATCCTTTTTACTAGAAATTTAAATAAAGCAAAAGAAAATTACAAGAATTTCATAAAAAAAAATCTGCAATTCCGTAAACTACCACAAAATATAATTTTCGCACCGATAAAAGCAAATAAATACTTTCCATAGTCTTAAGCCACAAAATATCAATTTCAATGTAATATTCATTTCCTCTCATAAATTTTTTGGTAATAAATCCCAATTTTTTCAATAAAATATTTCTCTTTCTCTTCACCTTTTAAAACCATTATCATTTTTTTTTTCAAAAAAAATTATATATTACTCGTTCCGTTCCTTTTCTTAATCAAATTTAATATTTTTTTTTTCAAAAGCTAAGAAATATAATAAATTTTATTACAAGATTTTCTATTTTATCTTTTTATTTACATCATGAAATATGAAAATAAAAATCCATAGAAAAATATTATCCTTAAAAACCAACGGAAAGAGTAATAAATTATGTTTTTTTCAATAAATTTTGAAATCAACATTTATGTGTTCATGTAAAAGCCACGTGAGCTGACAGAGTAATAAAGAGGTACATAATTCTCCACGCGTTAGAAAATATATGTGATACGAACAGAAGCATATGAACCCTCAAATTTTCAAAGATGTGTAAATTGGCCTAACTAACTAGGCGTCCGGGACTTTTTAAAATCAAATGGATTAGTTAAACTGTTTTTCAAATTCAAATAGGATTATCATGATAGGATAAGGGTATAATTTAAAAGAAATTAAAATGCATTATTTTCCAATTATTTTGAATTTCAAATTATTTTATTTTTACATGTTTGATTTATACAAAGGTAATTTTAGCTTATTATTTTTTATTTGAATTGAACATTTAACTTAAATATTATTTAATACTTCAAATTATGTTATTAATTTTTATGATGAAATGTTGAAATGTTTTAACGTTCGTTTAGTTGATTGAATGAGTTTGATGCATGATAGTTGATATGATTGGATTGAATGAACGTTCGTTTATTTAATGAGATGAAATGAAATATGGCTGAGTTAGGTTGTAATGTGTGAAATATATGAAATTTGTATGATATGGATTGTATGAAGTATGAAAGTTGATTATGATGTGAATTTTATAAAGTTAAGAAGTTATGAAGTTATAAGTTAAGAAAAAAAATGAGTTTGAATGTAAATCGATTCTGTATATGAGATTTCACTATGATAAAGTACGTTCGTTACTGAACGGTCATTGACCGTTCGGTTTTCCTAGTAAACCTAGTGGAAACGAGATTCTTTCATTTGGATAGAATCCTAGTGTAGGACGAGCGCCCTTGAGTGATAATACTATGCTTGAGCGTTCGGCCAAGCATAGTTGTGCTTGAGTTTACTGTGATAAACTCAAAAATATATATTTATGTAATTGTATATTATTATTGTTCGTAAATACCACTTCAATAATATCTTAATATATCTATCAAACCTTTTATTAGAAGTTTATTGGTGCTCGGTCTTATACCAAGCGCTCGTACTCATTTCTTGTATAATCAATCTTGGTAAAATAGCGTTCATCCAACTTCAGTAATATTTTCCTTTACCATGTTCGGTCCTTTACTGGCATTGGATTTATGTATGTGAACTATTCTAAATCTAGTTCCTTAACATCTTGACTAGTCTTCCTTCATTGGATCCGGCCTAGGGCCTCCATACTTGATTTATTCCTTGAGTATTGGTTTGAACTCAAGAGAGTCAGTTCATCCAACTGACTCACATGGTAAAAAAAATATGTTTGTCGCATATTGTACAATAAAATCGGTTTATTTCTTAAATCTAAAAGTAACTCTCTCGGTCTTATTCTGTTCTGGAACGGGAGATTTATCGGTCTCGTTCCTATCGTTCGTCCTCGTTCTGAAGAGGGCTGAACGTTCGGTATTTTATGTTCTTAGAACTGATGATGAAAATAACACTAAAGGAAAAGATTATAAAGGATGAAGAGTATTTGAGAGAAATTAAAAGTTGTGGATTTTGGACGAGCGTTCCAGGGAGGAACGACTCTTGAATGAATATTTGAAATTTGTAAAGTATGACTGTGATAATGCTAAGTTATCGATTCATCCTGATGTTCCGTGAGTACTCGTCCTCATGTAGAGGAGAGTAGGTCATGTGTGGGAACGACAGGAGGTCCTAGTCCTTAGGGGTACTTTGGACGGAACGGACTAACCTCGGGTGGCAACTGATAAGAATTCCAGTTACTACATCACCCGGGTGCATGAACGTCGTAGCTACACAAAATTCATACAGTCCGGACGGTCAGTCTAGTAGTAGGCCTTGCTTGAATCGTACATTGAGATGTATTTGATGAGTTTGAATGTGATAAATGTATGTTATTGCTTGAATTAAATTACATAAGCTTACCCTGTGTTTTTCCTTATGTTGTCTCGTTTGTAAGTCCGTCCTTGTCCTTGCAATGATCATCCGTGTGGATGTGAGCAGAAGGAGACGCGCTACTGGAAGAGGCGCTGGAAGAACAATATTTGGAGGAAGAGAACCTCGTGGAAGTTGAAGTTAAGGCCAAATCGTAGTACGTTCGGTTAGTAGTATAGTTTAGTTAGTATAAGGTGTCGTTCTGTCACCTTTTCTTTTGTTAGGAACAACCGTTCGGTGATTCCTTTTGTAAACCGTTCGGTCAGTTTCGTATTGTTGTATAAGTCAAATTTGAACTCTTACTGTTTATGGACGTTCGGTCAGAACCACACGTTTTCTTTAATGTTAAGACTGAACTAATATATTAATTAATGTGATTATTCTATTGTATGGTTTTATTACTGTATTTTTGGGATGTTACAAAAATCGTCTCAAATAGGTTCTTGTATTATTTTTGGTCTCAATTAGGTCCGTTGTTCCTGTAAAATTGAATCAATTGGAACCTTGCCTATAATTGGATTAGACGACGTTAAGATTTATTTGTCGTGGCATGCTGATTGCGCAGATGTTAACCACGTGGCAAAGAAAGCTCGCATTATGTGGATGTGTAATTTAAAAATTCAAAAGAATAGGATTTCATTAAATTCTTAAATTCCAAGATGAAAATCCTTAATTAAAAAGGGTGCTTAAGGTGATCGAGTTTGTTGTTGTGCGATGCAGGTGAGTGGGTGGTGAACATAGTTGTTCTTCTTCCAACAGGATGTCGAAGGACTAGTGATGTCTTGATGTTCTTCAACATGCATTTCACTACAAGAAATGCCTTAATTAATGAAGAATTAATACCGACGACCTTTTGTCTGTTGGTAAAGATGATATACCGAAGGATTTATCGACGGTCAATTAAGATGGTTATTACGGACGACTTATGCCCGTCGGTAATGGGCAACGAATTTATTGAAGGTTTTTGGTCGTCGGTATAGGCATGGACTTATTGAAATCAGGATTTGGGATTTTCCTCTTCTATTTTCCCAAAATCCATATTCGCGAAAACAAGCTCCTCTCCATTTCTAAGTTCACTGCTCTACCCTCTCCCCTCTCCCCCCATTGTAATCTTTGTCTCCCTCTCTCGTTCAGAGTTTGAAAGCACCATTGCCATTGTTTCCCACTCGTCCATTACGATTTCGCCATGGCCATTGATCGTTCTCGATAGGGATGGTAACAAGTCGGGTCGGGCACAGATAGTGCCTACCCGCAACCCGACCCGCATGCAAAAAATCGTACCCGTAACCCGACCCGCTACCCGTTGGATATCTGCATAAAAAAATTCGCGGATTTTTTTCAACCTGCGGATACCCGTTGGATACTCGTTTTCAACCCACAAATATTTAAAAAATATATTTTGTGAATTTTTAAATAAAGTTTAAATTAAATTACAAGAGAACAATTTAATATATTTGCTACATATTAAAAAGACATAATGTAATTTTTAAACAAGTTAAAGAAAACAAATACTGAACAACTTTTGAAAAAAAAAATGATATGAGGAAGAAACACCACATAACTAAGTCTCAATTTATATAATGGTACTGAAGACGCTCGTTGCAACTACTTCAAATGGCCTTGATAGATGACGCTAAAATCATCCAACGAAACCCTAATTCTCTTGATCAAGAACTAATTTGATTGTAAAAATCCTAATTTCGAACGAGAACAATGAACCCACTCAAACCCTATTTTCCCTAATTTCGCACACTCAACAATCTCACCAAAAATCCTAACTTATCTCTAATACGTTTTATTTTAATTTCGCACAATAAATAAAACATTGTCTTTTTATTCAATTTAACTTATTTAAATCTTAAAATAAATAAATTCCACCTAATGCGACCTCAATGTGCCACATGAGAAATAATTCCTTGGTTAGCATGCCATGAGACAAAAATTTTAATGCTGGCTAGTCCAATTAACAACAAGGTTCAAATTGATACAACTTTACAGGAACAAGGACTTAATTGAGATAAAAAATAATACAAAGACCTATTTGAGACGATTCTGCATAAATAGGTATCTCGAAAATGATTAAACCTTTTTCTTTTTGGGATTATTGTAGAAACAGACTTGTCTTTATAAAAAATCAATAGAATACGCCTCAATTGTGACCACAACTGAAGCAGAAAGCCCTTTACGACGTCGGTTCTGGCCACAACAGAGGTAGAAAGGTTGACGAAAAAAAAACAAAAAACACCTTTACTGCCT